TTTAAAAAAACCATCACTTAGGTGACTAGGCAACAAGGCACTCCCCTATCGCCTAGCGTTGCCCTGGCACCTTGAAGACTATGTGGATAAGCTGTCATTAAATTCTAACTACTGGGTTTTTCCATCTTTCTCATCATTCCATCTCGCGTTTAGATTTTGGACCTAGGGTTCATCTTTTTTATTTTTTTTTTCTACAAATACCAACTGATTGGTTTATATCGGTTGATTGAGTACAAGGTTTTCCTTATTTTTCTTGTTCTTGCATTTTCCTTTTTCATTTAAGAGAAGGCACCATCATCTTTTCTTTCTCTCCTTTCTTGGAATAGGAAAGGAATTGTTTTATCATGCAAATAAGAATAGAAATCTCATTTCTTTTTTAAAGAATACATTTTTAAAAAGAGAACTTTTAGTTTTTTATTTTTTGCCTTGGATGCTTTTTTCTAATAGTCTAATTAAATAATCAACCTTTATCTTTTGGAAAAATAAAATTCAAAATGAGGAAACTCTAACCATATGATGATTAATGAGATAAAGAAGAGAACATGTAGACATAATGTGCTCACCTAATATCCTGTGCATCACCAAGGCACCAAGCCAATGAATGCATCTTGGGTCTCCCCAGTAACATCAACAAAGCACTTTTCTGTATTTCTCTTAGTTCAACCCATCTGTCCCAGATAACAAGTACCTGTAGTTTCACACTTGGAGGGAAAAAATCCAAATTGCCAAATTGATGGGCCTTCAGACATGCAAAACAGTGCCTTGGACATGACTGAATTTATATTCATTGTGAAGGCAATGCTTGTTCACAAATCGTTACAAAGTAATTAGTTACACAACAGCTCAGATCATTAGGAGGGGGGAAATGTTTTGAGGTACCGTCTTTAAGAAGAATAAGCTCTTGGCCAGATTTTCATAATGAAAAGTGAAGATGTTGGATACCAAAAATAGATAATGCAAACATCCAGAACACAATCAAAATAAGCATGATAGAATCAAGATCAATGATCATCATCATCACCCAAACCTTATCCCAACTAATATGGTGTCAGTAACATGAATCTTGTTTTGGCATTCAGTTCCATTCAATGTCATATCATTGTTAAATTATGGGAACTTAAATTCTCTCTAACTACTTCAACCCATGTTCTATTTGGTCTTACCCCTTCCCTTTCTAGTCCCTTCAACTTGCAACATATCATTTTTTCTCACTGTTGCTGTTGGTGGTCTTCTATGCACATGTTCAAACCATCTTAATATACTTTCTCTCATTTTAGTACCTATTTAAGCTAAGCTACTCCTAGGTTCTTTTCAATGACTTCATTTCTGACCCTATTCTTTCTAGATTTTTCACTCATCCATCTCTGCATATGCAATTTTGCCACTCATTTTTTGGACATGTTTCTTGACTGTTGATCTCCAATCCTAAGTGTCCTCATTTGCATTCATTATTATTAAAGTGACAGATCAGATATCCTGTTTTCTTCCTTATATTTGAAATTCCTTCTTTCTAGGATATTTGTCCATAAACATAATTTTACATTTAATCCTTCATTAGTTTCATCAATTAAAACAATGTCATCAGCAAACAATATGCACCATGTGAAGGGATGAGAGATCCATCCTATGGACGCCCAAAGATTGCGGAATAAGGGGCAAATTTCAAAAATTTTATCTCTCCCTTCAACTGGGAATCGTATTCCCTATTTAGAAAATCGTATTTTCAAGGATCAATCTTGAACCATAAACTGAATCAGATCTGAACCAAAAGGAGTGGGAGAGGATTATACCT